GCTGCAGACTACATTGGTTGCCAATTTGCTTCGAAGGTTAATTCGTACCTCTGCTTTTGACTTTTAAAGCCCTTCATGGCATGTGGCCAGGTACCTGAGGAACCATCTCCATCTGATTAGATCTGCTCATTCCATTAGGTCTAGTGTAAGTGATGTGTTATGGGTCCAATCTGCAAAGGAGTATCATGCGGCGGAATCTCAAAAACAGGCCTTTTCTAACATGGCTCCTGCCCTGTTGGATATCATTCTGCCCTGTCCCTGATAATCTTCCAGAAATCCCTTAAAATACGGTTGTGTCATCAAACTTGGGAATCTCAAGGTAATGGTGAATTAGTGAGATGGCTGTATTGCTCTCTCTGCTACTCTGTCATTGGGATTGGTATTTTTAATTGTATAATGCTTTGTTAGTTTTTACTCTGTGTTTTTATTGTATGCCACCCAGAGTCATATTCTGTGAGATGGGTGGCTATATAAATATGATAAATAAATAAATAACGTGTGTGTGTGTGTATGTGTGTGTGTATAATACATATGTATATGTATGTGTATTCCCACAAGGTAGAATTGTTATTTCAATTGTACATTCTGATAGCTTAATGACACTCCATCATTGGGAATAAGGGAAGATTGTTATACTGATGAAACATAAAGCCCTCTGGTATTTCAGCACTATCATATATAGAAAGAAAGGTAACAGGTACAGCAGTTATTAGCCCAATCCTGCATATAAATGACTGCATGACTGGAAATTAAAATTCCTATCTCTTTGTAAATTTGAAGACCAGCTATAATTTCTAATTGTCCTTTTGATCAACGAAAGAAAAAGTCAACCTAGAGCTTTTCTTCCACATAGATTTGTTTTTATCATTCAGAGTTTATCTTCTAAAAGGCCATGCTGATAGTACAAAGACAACTTTTATCCAAAGGTTAAGGAAGAAGTAAATCCATGCTTTCATCAACATTAATTCTGTCTCCAGGTGTGGTTCTGCATTTCACACACATTTGGAAATTGCAAAAACAGAAGCCAGGAATTTAGACTGACGGATGTCTCGCTTCTCATGTTCTCTACGGATGTAAATACGGATTCTTATAGTATCTGGCTTAGCACTTTTGTTTTCTTTAAGACAATAGAATTATAATTGCCCCCTCTAGTAAACAGTTTTTTTTTAAATAGCAGGTACACTATTATGGATGCATGCTGAGATAACATTTAAAATGCTAGAAAGATATATTGGTTAAAATAAATTGGCACCTATTTTTTTAAACAAAAATCATAGCTTCAAATGTCTTTTAAAAATTATCCTTATGTCAGCTATAAGAGATAGATGGATTATTTGCACAGAAATATAGAAGTAACTCTGTCTAGAAACAGGTCAAGAATTAACTTTCAGGAAGTTAATCACTACAGCAGATTTTTGTGCAGAATTACAGAAATATAGAAATCTATCTACTTGCGTTATAATTAAATTCAGATTAGTATTATTATGATTAAATATCTTTGATCTCCTATACTAAACAACATTATATTACACAGTGGTTTAATTAGCTGGGGATTATGCTAACAATACACAGTGGAAAACAATAATTTTGATCAAACAGAATGAAAAGATTTAATAAAATGTTTCAACATAAAGTTTATGTGTCAACCTTTCCAGATAGACAAGACAGGAAACACAACCCAATGAATAAAGTCTACTTTATTATAAGGGTACATTAACAGAATCTTGCAAGTCTCAAACTACAAATCTCCCACCATTTCCTTTACGGTCTGAGAACTTGCCTCTTCTAAGCTTCTTTCTCTTCCCATTATGCAGCTGCAGGTTATGCCCTCCGTTATCTGACTATTTTCTAAGCAGCATCACTTCTCTCTATTTCCCAAGGTTAATTCCCCATACCATTACAATATTTTAAAGGTCTACATTTTTAAAAATGTAGCTAAAATTAAGTAGTACTATAAGATAGGTTCTAATGGAGGAAAGTTTGTTTGATCCACTGAAATCAAGGATGCACACAAGATGTGTTACTCAGTATATGTTTACTCCTCTCCATAGAAATATATATAACAATACAGTATTGCAATAAACCAGATGGGGAGAAGTCGGTGGGAGCCTCCCAAACAGATTTGCACACAAAGGTGTGCAGCCTCCAACATTTCCCATATCTGATCTAAAATACATAACTTACTTCTGATTTCTGTTTTTGATGTTAAAGAACAAGAAAGCACTGGCCATGATCATTCCCAAGATAGTGAGTGCTGAAAGAATACTGTAGAGAGGCAGAGAAATCTTACGAAGTTGCTTTTGGATAATTGTTCTATCCTTTGGAGGTTCTTTCCCTACAATGCAAAAAAAAGTAAATAAGTAAATCTGTGGCTCTCCCGGTTTTGTATATTCAACCTTATTTTCAACATATTTATATCCTATGAAATTATAAGTCAGAGGTAAATTACAGAAGTCCAATATATTGCACTCTGATGAGCAGAGCATTCTTGAATCGGAGTTTGCAAAGTTTTTAGGCACTGGCCAAAATTGGGAGAACTTTAATGATCATACACCTATCTCATAGAATTATAGGGCAAGAAGGGCATTGGAATCCAATCCTTCTAGTCAAACCCCTTGCCCCAGGCAGAAGTCCTTATTCTATCCTGGACAAATGGTTGTCCAATCTTTCCTGAAAACCTCCAGTGATGGAGCACCCATGACTCTGGAGGCGAGTTGTTCCATTGTTTTCTCCTTATTTCCAGGTTGGGTCTCCCTCTGATTCCACCCATTGCATCTTGTCCTGCCCTCAAGTACTTTGGAGAACAAATCAAGCCCCTCTTCCCAATGACAATCCTCCAAGTATTGGAAGATGGCTAAGCCTTCCCTTTGTTAGCTAAACATACCTAGTTTCCTTAGCTGTTCACTGTATGGTTTAGGCTCCAGACCCCTTATCATTTTTGTTGCTCTTCTCTGCATTCTGTCTAGGTGACCAGCATCATAGTGACCAGAACTGGTTGCAGTATTCCAAATGTGGCCTCTCCAGTGCAGTATAGAGAAGTATTATCATTTCTTATGATCTTGTACTATCCCTCTGTTAATGCAATCTAGGACTATATTTTCTTTTTTGGCACTTGCAGCACACTGTTGGCTCATACTTAACTGGTGGTCCAGAAGGACACCTAGATCCTTCTCACAGGTACTATAGTTGAGCTATGTACTGTCTATTCTGTACCTGTGTACAGGTTTTGTTTTTCCTGCCTAAATACAAGTCCTTATTTTTCTCATCACTGAACTGCATCTTGTTGGCTAGGACCCAATGCTCAAGTTGTCAAGATCTTTCTGAATCTTGAATCTATCTTCATTAATGAAGTCATCTAGTGAGTTTATGTCATTACATGAAATCTTATAAGATATTCATATCTCATAAGAATCAGTGGATTCACCTTGATAAGCCAAAATAAGGTTTCAGCCATTCCACCGTGCATTATTACTGAAAAAGTGTATATAACCTATAAATCAATAGCCACGTTTTTCTGCTTCAGATAAGCAGTCAGTGTTTTTAAAAAAGCCACTGCTCTCTCCCCCTCCCCCCCGGAATGGGGAATAAAGTTTAAACGCATAAAGTTTAAAATAATGTTAACAGGAATTACTAGAATTATTATTCTGGGTTCTGGAGAGAAATCTTTATGTGAAGATTTAAAAGTCACCTGAAAAATATTAAGAGGACTTTTAGCTTCCTATCCAAAAGGAAATTCTCTTTCCTTCCTCTTTATAGTAATTGTATACCAGATACAAACAAAAATCTCTTTAGACTTCTGGGTAAGAACTGAATTGTTAATAGAGGAAATAATTGTTCTTAATGTACTTTTTCATATGTTGATTTGCAGGATCAGTGTTAGTGAGGATTCTTAGCAATTATGGCAGAAAGACACATTATTGGTTTTAGGGCATCTTTTTGCTCAGTTCCTATTTAACCATATCACAAAGGAAAGATAGTATAAGAAAGTTAATGTCAATAAACTTTTAACTGATCTTTTAATCACTGTAGATTTCTGAAGTCGATCAATGGGCTTTCCCTACAAGCACTACTGAAACAGCTCTATTTGTCTTACATTGCATGTGAAATACACCAATCACGTGCCCTTTCTATATTCCTGTCTTACCATGGAATTTGATGGAATTGTTGATGATTTCCAGTGAATCAAGTATAGCATTATATTCTCCCACCTTTACTTCCTTTTTGTCTGCAGAGAAACAAACAATTGGAAATGTTTGTGTCAGTTCATATTTTCCTCATTTCTAACAGCTACTATTGTTACCATTTTACTTCCCATGTTATTGTTATACTTATAGACAAGGTAAAATATGAAATAATTCAGAGAATAAAACTTGACTTTTAGGAAACTATATGCATCATACTAGAACTACAATGTAGAGTTATTATAATAAAAATTGCAGAGTGTACGTTGTTCCAAATGTTCTAAAATTACTGTAACTATGAATCAATACATTTTCTAGGGACATACTGTTATTTTTAGAGATATGGATCGGAGACCATCTGAAAAATAGAGAGTCCAAACAAATCCTAGTACATAATCACACTAAGCCCAGAACTTCAAATAGCAGCTTTGAGAACCATTCCAGTTCTCCAAATGAGGCATTCAAGGTAACTGAAAAAGCAAAGGAAAAGATATCTACAATGGTAGGGTAGTACAAGAACAAAATGAACAAATGAACCATTGGACCACTGGTGTGAAGTACTAGTTAAAAGACTGGATTGGATCTTAGCCATGGAAACTCACTGAGATATTTTAGGTCAGTCATTCTCTCGGTCCAACCTTGAAGTAATATTATATGTACTATATGTACCTTGAGCTCTTGATTAAAACAAAAGGATGTAAATTAAGATATGAATAAAATAAAAATAAAAACTTGGATCTCTGTACAGAAGATTTTTACTAAATATTTTTATTCTGGTATTTCAATAATTAAGAGTATTTCATATGCTGGTGATAGAGAGGATACGATGTTTCATAATTTCTTTAGTTATATGATAGCCAAAGAATGTGTGTGAACATCTAGCCTCTTTCACTGTACAACTCGCTCTCCAGGGATCCGTAAAACAGGTGTGGAAAAGGCTTCAAACTGTTTTAACCTTATTGGAAGTGTTCTGACCTCAAAACAGCCCCATTTGGAGGTGAGAATACTTCTGCTGAGGCTAGAGCAGTATCAGAGCATTTCCTCTGAGAGAAGAACACTTCGTTTTGACTTTAAAATACACTGAACTATTTGCACACATCTAGTTACAGCTTCCCATGTTTTCATTGAATATATATATATTCAACAGCACAACACCATACAATCATCTTGACTATAGGCACTGAGAGAATAACCAGAGCTAGCTTGCACTTCCTTACCAATTAATGAGCTTGAGAAGAAACTCCTTCCATGAGGATTCCCTTTACCCTTATCTAGCAGTGTTTTTACTAATTGTTTTGTGTATTTACAAGCTTTTTTTTTTAAAAAAAAATGCCTGAAAGTTTACAGTATAACCCTATAAAACCTATACAACCAACACACATCATTAAAAATTCCATAAAATAATCAACCATCCCTAGTGTCAAAGCAGCAGTTTTTACAATTAAAATTAGAGATTAAAGACTCTGTTAACAAACTTCATTTTCACCAACTTTATAATTACCATGGCAGAAGATGCCAATGAGTTCTCTTGGATCGGGTTATGCCACAAAGATCGAGCTACTGGGCCATACCAGATTTTATACACTGCTTCCTTTGTTGGACTCAAGCAAAGGAGATACATTAAATTTAAACAATAGCATACCATAAAAAACAGACCCATATACTTATTAATGCAGCCCTGACATAATTAGCCAGGTGTGGAATGCTGAAGTTGGGACTGCCTCAACCTGAACTTCAGCAATGAGTACCACTAGTGAATATCACCTCTTCCTTACAGGAGGAACTTGTGACCTACCCAGACCCTCACAGCCTCTAGACATTGAGTTAAGTCAGCATCCTTGGTTGCCCTAGAGTGGAGATATTCAATTAAGCATTATTGCCATAGTGATACCTCACTCCAAATTAAAAGATGATTTCTTCCAATGGTTTCATATAGATGGCAAATAAGAATGGGGAGAATCACATCTAAGAAGCACATCTAAGGGCTTAACTACTCTTTCCCCATAACTACTGACTTGTTCAGCCTATTAGGTAGAAGTGGAAATACCAAAGAACAGTGTCTCCAAACTCCATCCCTGCAGATGGTCCAGAATGATCTCATTATTGATGATAGCAAACTCCACCAAGATACCAAACAGAGCAGGAAGGTTCCATCCAATTTCCAATGGTGATCCATCACAGTGACCTTTTCTAATTCATTCCCAGGCTGGATGTTGACAGTATGCTGAAAATAACTAACTGAACATCTTGATCACAGAACATCCAAGTGATGTTGTCTACATTCTTGTCCGGTGTCTAGCAGTTGTATGGGACTTAGGCTCAATCCTAATCCTAAATGGCTGGGGATTTGGGTGGCTCCTGATCTTTCTCTAGTCTGGGAAGGGGTAGCATTTTCCATGAGAGAAGAGTAAGCAATGTGTGATTCTTCTTGGATTCACAACTGGCCAAGGCCTTTCCACAGATTCACCTGGTGTGTTAATTTACTCATTTCTGGATTGGAAGGCACTCCAAATGGCCGCTTATGCCCTTGTTACCTTATGAGTGGACTTCTATAATGTATTATACATGAGGCTGTCCCTGAAGATCATTTAGAAACCACAGGTAGTCCAGCATGTGACAGAATGGTAGATAGTTGTATACCCATGTGACACTACTGCTCTGTGAGCTGTACTTGTTACAAGTACAATGCAATCAAAAGTGCCAGTTATCATTTATAAAGCCATTTGGTGCATAGGGCCTTATTATTTGAGGGATCACTTATCTTCCATAGTTTCTGCCTCTCCCATAAGATCAGCCAAACTGAATGTGCTCCAGTTCTCTTTAATTAAATAATGTCTTATAGAACCTAAGAAGTATGTCTTCCCAGCAACTCCTCAGAGATTCATATAGTTCCTATCCTGAAGATGTTCCAAAAGTCATTGAAAATTTGGTTGTCTCCTAGGCCTTGGGGTAGGGTGGGTCCCAAGGATGTAGAATTTTCTATTTGTGAATGATCATTGTTGTTGTTGTTTCCTGCTTAAAGTTTTATATTGACCACTGTCTTGAAGAGGCCGGTGGCCTCTTTGAATGAATTAATGAACAAACAAACAAACAAAACAATTGCATGTATGTTGGCTTCCATGTAATCCAGGATCTTATAGTATGAACTACTTGTAAGGTTGCCAATGTGTTCAATTATATGAATGAAAGTTTTTCTCCTGTAGATGGTTGAAGTGAATTCATGGTTGTCATAAAATGGCTAATACTATCTGAGCTATTCAATAGGGATTATCAGGAATGTTCACATGCTTAGCATTCCCATTTTAATAGTACCTGAATAGATTCATTTCTCCCCTACCACTGAATTAGATTTTTTTCCAGCAATGAAATGATCTAAATTTTTCTTCTCTATAAACATTTTACAGTTTTTGAAAGCTCTAAAGGTTATTTTATGGGTAAGAGTATGTTTTTTATTTTATTTTTTACTTTACAAACTGTAAATTATGTTCCCAAATATGCTGAAATCGCTATATTATTTGGGGGATGTAATTTCATTTCAAAATTACTGATAGTTAACCAAGTTTGATTTTTGAAAGGATAATGATGATGATAATGATAGGTCCTTTTTAATAATACAGGGCATATTTGCTTTAGTGGCATTTTTTTGTAACCAGAAATAGATACTGTGATTATGGAGAAAAAGGCAACTGTAGGGCATAAAATATTCAAGATATTTGCAGAGTTGAAAATTGTTTTTCAGGATAATGAATCTGTTTAACAGAAGTTATTAGTATCTTTAATCATTCTGTCTAAAAAAAAAAGAGAGAGAGAAAAAAATATGCATGATTAAAATGAGTAAGATCGCACTTCCTATCTGCCAGACAATTGATAAGAATAATTAAAGGTATCACTGACATATCAAGAATGAAAAATGAAAAGAAAATTTTAAGCACATTAAGCCTAAGTACCCTTTTCAATTGAGGTAGTGACTAGATAAAGCTAATAAAAGCGTCAATTATGAAAACAAAGTGTGAAAAGCATGATTTTTTTCCCCAACACCTTAATGGTAATTCTGCTTTGAATCACATGACCCAGAAGAATGGAATCTTAGAATGGAGTTGTCAGCAACGTTGCATGCTGCTGCCCAATTGCATTTTTCCTTGGCTGTATATTTCCTGATGTACTGACAAATTACACATTTTCTTGTATTGCTAAATTTGTGGATTAATATTTTAAGCAAGCTACCAAGAAATTATATTATATTAATATTATATATAAATAACATATAATATATAAATATTATATATAAATAACATATAAATGTTATTAAATATACATATTTATTTACGATCAATGACCAGTCATATGCAACCTAAATATTTCAGAGAAAATAGGTAATAGAAATAAAATAAAAATAAAGTAGAAATGGAATAAATAAAATTAAAAAAATCATGTCACAATTCTAAGATTAGGTCAGGATATCTTACATCTTCTTATGGAAACAAGCACAACTAAAAATATAGCAATTCCATTGGTAACAGTATAATTCCAATCTAAAGCTAGGAAATATGCTGCTTTGATTATTTGATTATTAGGAGGTAATAAAGGTATGCCTGCGTGTAAATGATCAAAGGAGGGGCTATGAAAAATACATCAATTAGAGTCCTAGGTTCATTCTAACTAAAAAAAAACAGCATCTTTTAGTGAATGGAATGCTACTGTGTCCTCCCCCATTTAATACTGCTAAGGGGTAAAATTTTGAAATAAGCCAAATAAATTACTACAGTTTGCTGACTAAAACAAGACCGAATAAACAGTTTGTAAGTAGAAAGAACTTCCAGAATGAACTCATACATCTTTGATTATAACATCCCTGTGCAATGTTAAAGAAATTTGACAGATTTTGGCTTTAACTTTCTCTAAGCCTAGGAGTAATAAAAAGTAAATAAAGAAGCTGATACAGCACAGATTGGCTAGGATTTTATTTTCCACCTTGCTGAAAAATCATGAAAAAAAATAATAGGGGCAGTAAACTATTAAAAAACAGGAGTTCAAACTAATAAGAGAATCAGCATTTGATTCAATGGGACCATGTAGTTTAAACCAAGAAATGCAACATGGACCGTGGAAGAGTGCTCATAAAAACCGATATTATATAATATATAATGAATATTATAGGGGCTTTGATTCATGTATGGGTTTGAATCATTATACGGGATACTATGTGCCATACAACATTTGGGATATAATTTCAGCTTTCAAAATCTAGGTATGTATCTACCCCCTTTAGAACGAAAAAAAAAATCCAAGTCTACCTTGGTGCTAATCTGAGTATGTAATCCCAGCATACATAGGGCATTAAGCATGAAAAGGTGGGAGATCCAGATAAAAAGGATAGGGGTGCCACAAGGGGAGGGGTGGAGAGTCAGGAGAAGCCCTGGGAAAGCCATGTGTGAGTCAGAAGATCAGGGGAAGGCCAGTGCAGCCTGTGCGCAAGTCAGGAGAAGCCCTGGGAAAGCCAGTGCAGGCCGCACACAAGTTGTGGAAGGCTGGGGTGGGCTGTGCATGGGTGGGATGGTGGTGTAGATAGGAAAACAACTGCAGGGCAGACTTTGTGGGAAGTTGGCAAGGAGGGTTGCAAGTAG